TGACCTCACAAAAGCTATGTCTGAAAGGAATCGCCAAGTATTATTAACTCAATGACAAGCTCTGGACTGTGCTCTGATTCTTAGTGGATTAATAACTTCGTATTATTTTAATGATTATTTTTCCTCTGGAAAGCACCAAATTTCTCTCCCCTTCAATCAGCCAAAACTATAGTATTTTCCCCTCTTCTCCCTTAGTCATCAAAATACTGAGCCTAACAGTCTGTGAGATCCTAGTTGATTTAAGTCCAGATAGTGTCATCATAAAAATAAAGATTACAGTCAATTCATCAGCACTCCCCAGAGACCAGTAACTTGATTATTTCAAGTCACCTATAAATGGTTTCCCCAGATTGAATGTCAGGAGATAAACAGTGAGATAAAGACCATCGCCTTCCTTCCTTCTCCCGCACCAGAGGTCAGCTTGGTTTGAAGCCAGTGTCTAGAATACTAACCTAGCCAAACAAACTGTCATTTCTAGTTGAGAGGACAGATTGGCTATTTGGTTGTAAAGTTGCCTGAACAACGGGAGACTTCCTGATGTCGGTTCAGAACTATTTGGATTCTGTGTGACCGAGACTTCTCAATCCGGGGCTCTTTCAGGATTGAGCTGCCATAAACCTGAGGAATCTGGAGAGACCTACCACGAGGAAGGTACCCCAAATGGTCTGGTGCTAAGGAGTCCAGTTTATTCTGTGACGCCTGGTATCCCACAAAAGCGAGAGCTGGACCCCAACTGAGTAGGAGACATATTGCAGACACCAGGAGAACCAGACAGTAGTGTAGGCTGGAGTCAGGTTAGCTGAGTATTTAAAAATTCTTAAGGCTACCAGGAGTCAAGTCAAGCCAGATTACAGAAGCTAGACAGGAGGCAGTTAATACTAACTGGCATTGAGCTGGTGAGTGGGGACAACTAAAGGAGATTTCAGATTTTACTTAATAGGAAGGGTAGGCAAGGACACCAGATATCAGTTGAGGAAGAACAGTGCAGGTGGATTCTGGAATCCAAGGCTTGCACAGGTGAGGAACTGAGCAGGTTAGACATGCCAGTGAACAGAAGCATCAGAAGGAGCCTGATTCTAGGCTGTTTTCCCTTCAACCACTTCTATGCGTCAGCCTCAGTCCGCAAGTATCTATAAGGGACTTTCGCAACAGAACTTCAGTAGCCTCTTGAAACAGAGGCTGTGTTCTCACAGCTGGATCCAGTTAAGTGTCAGGCATTTATCAAAGTATAAAATATTCCTCAAAATATTACTTCAGGATGATATAAATGGTCAAGTATGTTTAGAAAATATTGCAACCATAACCTCCCCTAAGAGATTCACAATAAACACTAACACATTGATGATCTCAAGGGTCTTCCAGGAAAAGAACTATTTCAGTTTGTTTAACTTACCCCTTCCCAGATAGATTTGACTTGAGACCTTTTTTGGTGGAGCATACATCCTATGAAACTAGTCCTAGGGAGCAGTTTGGAGATCCTCTTCTAAAGGAAGTTCAGGGCTAGTCAGGGACCCCAGGGACCACTGCCAGGAGAAATCAGTTCCTTTTGTCCCCAGTGGGGATGCTGCATCCAGCCTCAGGTTCTGCTCTGTACAGCTCCTGGGGAACCACTCACTGAGACTGCAATGTGACTGACAGCCTTGAGTTGTCCATTCATCATCCCTGGTCTGTCATGCATACGACAGGTGAGAGAGTGTAATCATTAAGAAAACAGACTACCTAGGTTCCAGTCCAAGCTCTTAACTAGAAAATTCCAGACAAGTTATTCCCTCTGTGACTCCATTTTCTCATAAGTCAAATGTGGGTAGAAATAGTTTAATAGTATACAATGTTATATATTTTATACTATGTAATATACATATAGTGTATGTTAGTATAGTAACAAGAGAGTATAGTTATTTTTTGCAGGTTTGTTGTAAGAGTTGTTACATATGTATAAAGCATTTAGGATTGCGCTTTTAAGTATTAGCTGTTACTTCTGTAGTTCTTATTTTCATCACATTTACTATGGTGGTGATCATAAGGTAACTCTCCTGTCAGCCCCAAGTGTCTATGAAATCTGTAGTTTTAAGAACATCACTTAAAAAGAATGATTACCTTTCCTTGGCACGTGCCTTCCCAGTATACCTAGTCTCTCTACTATAAAGAGCAGGGATGAGCTTGTTTACCTGTTTACATATGACAAGTTTATAGGAAGAGATTTTATTAATACTTCTATATTGTATCAAGCTAAATCTGAAACGGTCCCAGATCAGGAACTAGTGGCAGTAGCTGACTTTGAAGAGGGGAACTAGGAGGTAGGACAGAGACTTAACTTTTCATGATCCCTCTTGTGTGGCTTTTGGATTTGTTACTGTATGCATGTGTTAACTCATTCAAAACTAAATGTAAAAACAAGAAATTTAATTGACACTAGATACAGTTAGATGAGATAAAGAAATAATATGCAGAAGAATTCATTATAAATAAGAAATTTGGATTTCATGAAAGTAAGTTGGAACTCAGACTTTTAAATTGTATTCAATGCATTTATTCTACTTTTACTATTTATTTTTCATTAAAGTATAGTCGGTTTACATTGTTGTGTTATTTTCTGGTGTACAGCATAGTGATTCAGTTATATATATATATATATATATATATATATATATATATACATTCAGTTTTATATATATATATATTTATATATATATATCCCTTTTCATGTGCTTTTTCATTATAGGCTATTACAAGGTATTGAATGTAGTTCCCTGTGCTATACAGTAGGACCTTGTTGTTTATCTATTTTATATACAGTAGTTAGTATCTGCAAATCCTCAAATCCCAATTTATCTCTCCACTGCTCCCCTTTCCCCCACTGGTAACCATAAGTTTGAGAAAACTTTTTTTTTTAAGTCCCTTCCTCCCAGGAACATAATATTGAACTTATATTATCTTATAAGATCTTTTTTTCCCAAAGAAGGGACAAAACTGATCAATAATTTTCTCAAGTTCTTATATGTGGTTTTTACTCTTGTCCTTTCATTACAAGCTTAACAATGTGTATTGTTTTCATTTTAAAATTTCTCATTATTAGAAAATAGCTTTTAAAATTGTGTGTATAATTTCTGTCTTCACAAAGTATTACAGAACAAATTGTTACATTAGAGGAATCTTATTTTATAGCTTCTACAATACCATGAGTAGCTGTTGTCTAGCTTGTGTGAAAAATCAAATGCTGTTTATTCTCAGAAACTAGAGTTCAAAACTCAAAATCATTTGATTAAAAGCAACAGGAAATTGGTGTCTTCAAATTGTGAGATTTTATAGACAAACCAAACTGTTTCAGGTTGGAGTGAATGCTGGTTGTAAATTATATACACAACAATGCCAACCTCAGTGATGAATCAGGCCAAATTATGTTTTCCAGTGTGCTATTCAAAAAATGCTACATAAGTCAGTTTTTCTCAGGCTGCTAATTATTGATAAATAAGCAGTTCTCAGTGTGATTTGGAAAGGCAAGTCCCCTCCTTCCATGGTCACTCCTCCCACATACATTCCCTGCCTCCATTAGTATAAGTAATGCCAAAGTGATGACAGTAACACATTCCTACATAGGTTTATTATGTGATATTTTACCAAGCTATCCCTGAAATTCTAGATTTTAAATTGAGTCAAATAAATCTTACAGCAAAGTAAGCATTCACCTTCGTTATTTCTGCTAAAAGGACTCTAGTAAATGGCAATGATTAAGGTGTTCATTTACCAGAGTTTCAAAGGGTAAAATTATGGGTGGGTGTGTGTGTGTAAAGGCCCCAAAGGTGAAAAAGTGCAGAGCAGATCATCAGGTGATGCGCTTTCCCACTCTCCGGGCTCTGAGCCATCTAGATCTACCTGGATCTAGATTCATCATGCACTTACTGGTTCCCTTGGAAACACACAGCCAGGTTGGATGTGTTTCTCTGGAACAACAGAGAAAAATCAGAAGTTACATCCTACCCCATCCGTTCCCGGCCCCTGTCTGCC